AAAATCATTTTATTTGTGGTGTTAAGAAGCTCTCTTTTCCTGCAATTGTGCTCATTTTTACCAAGTTATGTAACTAAATGTCATTTTGTTTGCGGTGTCAACAGGCTCTCGTTTTGTTGCATTAGTGTTTAATGAAATAACATCATAAAGACTGCAAATACATGAAACATAAATAAATAAATAAACAAAATGTTTCACATTGACATTTAATAAAAGTAATTGTGTTTATTTCACTGTGTTGGTAGTGTATGGCTTAATAACCAAGACGTGTTTTTTAGCATTTAAACTTTGGTCTGTTGATCAGTCCACTATGCTCAGCACCAGTGGGATTTCTATTTTTTTATACTTCTGTGTTCCCCAAAGAAAAAAGTTGACTGGTGATCCGTCCCTGGCTTTTCCTGTACAGCCACCATGAGAAATATAATGTATTTGTTTGATCAGAAAATTTGCTCTATAATGAAGCAGTAGCTTGCAAAAAGGCTGAGTAATGCACCTTCATCCATTCCTTTTTGTAACAAAAGTTAGCACAAGTCAGAGATCAATCCTGATAGGATTTGCAATCATGGTTTTAAGTTAGATAAACTATTGTGAGAGGAATGACGGACCCAACCACATACTTGCACTTTCCAGCACGCTTCTTTATTCAGTTGTTGTCTCTTCAACTCACGTCTTTTTCACAGCTTTTAAGCTGCGTCCTACACACAACAACAACAACAACCTCAGGTCCCGACATGTTTAATATAGGGGAGGCGTGATGAGCTGATTGACCTCAGGTATGTCAGCCTCCCCCGCAGCCAAGTCACGGACCATGCCCCGCCACAACTGCCAATGCTGTTTTCACCATTAGGCAGAAGTACGGTAAGAGCTGAAGTACTGATTTAACTTCTTTACTCAATTAAAAATGATAAAGTACAGGTTCTGAAACTTACTCAAAATAAGAAAGCAAAAAGTATCTTTTGAGTATTTTTTTATGTAATAAAAGAGAATTGTGCTGCTGCAGTTGGGTCAATTGATGCAGTAAAATGATATTAGTGCAAGGAAATATAAATGTTATTTCATTCCATATTTTGATTCTAATGAATGTACTCAGGTTATATCAATTATGTAGAATACAAACACAGAAAAAGAGGGGGAATTAAAAACAAAAACAGCTCTATCTGTTGCCTACACAACACAGCCTAATTTTGCAAACATAAACAAGAAAATTAGTACAGTTAGGCGTTAATGTGGGGTTGTAGAGAGATGGAAAGTAATCAGAATTGAGGAGATCCACTGCCAGAAGGCAAAAATCCAGACACTGAGAATAGCTAGAAGTACCTGGAAATCCTACAGTGAACGGGAACCACAAAGAAGTTGCTATTATTAGTCAGTCAACTGAATGGGTAGAACAAGATCTGGGCAATCAAAACCTACGCCCTGCCAGTTGTCAGATAAGCTCTACAGTAATAACCTGGCCAAAGGAGGAGATAGAAGCCACATATGTGAGGACAAGGAAGCTCCTAAACAGAAGGAAGGTGGCTGAGGATTGGTGAGTGTCAGATACACTGTCCAGGATGAAACAACAAAGATCCATGATATGTACACTGACTGTGTGCTTAGTAAACACCTCAGGCATCAGAAACCTTAGAAAGAAGAAGACTAAAAACAGATTCTCTACACAGATGAAGCAAACTCTATGTCAGAGTAATGTCACATACACGTAATTTTTTGGATAGAGGCACAATTCATCTGGTTTTGTCCATCCATACCATTTTAAATCAAACACTCAAAATGCAACTGAAGTGCAGACTTTTACCTTTAATTCATTGAGTTTAAGAAACATTTGATATTTGACAAGTCATTGACAAACAGTTATGTGG